CGACCATTACATAAGGCTACTCTCAGGGACGTTTACACCGTATAGTTTCATCTTTTTTAAATTGAGAGATAGGCCAACAACTACCTTAAATACCTTGAGAATCCTCTTTACATTCTTTACCATATTTCCATTTGCTTCCGAAAAGACTATCAAGTCGTCGAAAAATTGTATGTGACTGATATGCACTATTGTTAATCGCTACCCTTTTGAAGCACCCCATAGAAGTAGCTTTTTTCAATAGTCCACTCAAGCCTTCCCCAACTAAATTGAATAGCAATTGAGATAGAGGACACCCTTTTCGTAGCCCCCTCCTTATTGAAAATCATTAAGATGGAGATTCATTTAGTAAGACTGATATTAAAAGAGATGAAATGCATAAGCCAATCTATTCAGATGCTTACGCTCCGCCTTTCCATTTTGTTATGATGTATTCGGATAGTAAATCTTACGTTGAACACCATTCATCTACAACCACCCTTTAAGGGCTTGATACCCACCCCTACCATCACTTTGCAAAGCCATAATCTTCTTACCAAACTGAACTTTATTCAATTTAAAAAAGTTAAGAAAACATTGGATCACTTCAGACTTCCTCTTAAGCAAATAAATCCATGTATGTCGACTAAAAACATAAATAAACGAGGCATAGTACGAAAAATCATCAGAAGAGGATAAGGGAGCAGGTCCCCACATATATGAGACTATCAACTGAAAAGGCTCATTGTATTCAAAGATTTATAAAATGGCAGCTTATGAGCTTTAGCTTGCAAACATGCAGTATAAACAGTAGACAATTTATTTTCAGCGGAAAAATATTACAAGACTTCATAACATCTTTTGCAACTCTAAGAGATGAATAGCTTAGACGTTTGTGCCACAAGTCCAATAAACCTTGAGATTTCGACACATTATTCACAAGACACCTCGACTCCTTTTCCTTGTACGGCAGTAGCTGATATAATCCTTCATCTGTGAGCTTCCTTTTTAACAGAACAGTCCGAGTCTGAGAATCCTTCACAAGGCATTCAAACGGGTGAAACTCAATAAATGCATTACTGTCTCGAGTGAACTGAGACACAAACAACAACTTCTACTTAATATTAGGCACAAGAAGCATATTTTGTAAAAGTAAATGTTTGAAGCTAAATTGCACAAAACCTTGACCAACATGAGCAATATTAACACCTTCACCATTACCCATGAGAAGAGTGTTATTACATGTATACACGGTACCTGAACTAAACTGAGAAAGGTCATTTGTGACATGGAACGTAGCACCTGTATCAGGGTACTAGGCAATATCAACCGATTTTTGCGGAACAAACATTACTAAAGAAATACTAGGAACAGTAGACACAAAAACAGTTGGTGAGACAGACCCAAATGGATTATGTCCATCATTCGAAATAGCCTGAGTAGCAGGAAAAGACCCAACAGACATTTCAGGCAGAGAATACAACATTAGAGTCGAGGGATGGGACAAACCATAAGATAAACAGATGTGGAATTGAAAGTAGGCACTCTAATAAACCCTGAGTTGTGTGAAGTATGAAGAAGAAAGTTAAAAGAATAAAGAGTAAATGAAGGATTGAATGTAGGGGTAAATATAGAGTAAGTATAGGCTTGCACTCTAGCAGGAGACTGACGACTCTCAGTAGTCAAGTTGGTTGAGCATTTCAAATTATCCCCGGTTTGAACCTCACTTACAGCAACCCCAGGGAACTCCCTATCAAACCTATGATAACATTTTTGCATAACATGCCCAAATTTACCACATAACTAAAATTGTGGCATATTCAAACCATAGGACCTTCCACGCTCTCGAACACGATAGCCACATTGCTGCCATTTCTCTTGAGAAAACTACTTCTCAATTAAGCCATATTCTGAAGCATTCTGAATATTCAACTCACTACTACACTCATTATTTGAGAAAACATCCACATTAGCAGAAATTCCTTCACTAAAAAATAGCTTTTGTATGGCTTCACAATTCAAGAGCATTTCAGTCAAAACATATAACGACAACGCCTCTTAAGATGCTATAACATGATGGACTCAAACCAACCTTAAAATTCCTCAATATATTTAGATTGTTTGGGGCTCACACTAGTGCTAAAATCTCGTATCTTCGACATAGTTTGCATTCTCAAAGGAAGGTTGGGTTGTCTGTGAGCGATAACGATAAAAAATATCAAAAATTTGATTAAATAGTTGTTGAATAATCGAGTAAAGAAAACAAAAAGAACACAAGAATTTTAACGAGGTTTAGCAATGTGTTTATGTCCTCGGTGCCTCGGGCGGAGCTAGATTTTTCATTCAATATATCATAGGTTTTGGTTACATCTCCTTTATAATAAATAAACCCTAGTACATATTTACAAAAATAACCCTGTACCGTATTAGAATACGAAACCTTTGTCATATCTTCACTACGCTCTGCTTACTTCTCTCCTTCCTCTGTTCTCTTTACCGGTATATTTATGAGCCATACCTAACAAATCTCCACCTTGGTGAATATTATGTCCCTTAGGAAACATTCAATTTGGGTTGAGTTACCTTACTTCTTTAACAACTCGAAACACTTAACAAGTCCAAGCAATGCATGAATTAATATGTCGTAACTGGATTGGTGAACATATCAGTGGCATTCTCATCAGTATGTACCTTTTGAAACAAAATCTCTCCAGATGCAACCAACTCTATGATCTTGTGAAACCTTACATCAATATGCTTAGTTCTAGCACGATATACCTGACTCTTAGCCAAGTGAATAGTACTTTGATTGTCACAAAGCAACTGAACTCCACTTTGCTGAACACCCAACTCCTTCACTAAACCATTAAGCCATAAAGCTTCTTTTACAGCTTCAGCCGCTACCATGTATTCAGCTTCAGTTGTAGATAATGCCACAACAGATTGAACATTAGACTTCCAACAAATAGGCCATCCACCAAGAGTAAAGGCATACCCTTTCGTAGATCTTATATTATCCAAATCACCCGCGTAGTCTGAATCCACATATCCTACAACCAAAGGATTATCTCGCTGACTACCAAAAAAATTCCATGTCCCACAATACCCTTTAAGTACCTAAAGATCCACTTGATTGTTTCCCAATGTTGCTTACCAGGTTTAGACATGTCTTACAAACTTGACTAACAATATGAGCTAAATCAGGACGAGTACATACCATTGCATACATCAAGAAACCAACAACATTAGAATACGAAACCTTTTCCATATCTTTAGCTTTTTTATCTGTCTTAGGACACTGTTATGATGAAAGCTTAAAGTGATTCGCCAATGGAGTGCTCACTGGTTTTGCACTGATCATCGCAAACCTTTCTAGATTTTCTCAATATAACCCCGTTGAGATAGTCACAGTTTCCTTGAGTCTCTGTCCCTGCAAATTTTCATTCCAATAATTTTCTTTGCAGCACCTAAATCTTTCATATCAAATTCCTGACTCAATAAAGTTTTCAAACCGATAACATTATCCATGTTCTTCGCAGAAATTAACATATCATCAACATACAGTAACAGAAAAATAAAAGAACGTCATCAAGGCTCTTAACATAGACACAACAATCATACTCACATCGCTAGTAGCCAATCTTCATCATATAGGAGTAAAATCGTTTGTACCATTATCTCGAAGACTGTTTCAACCCGTATAAAGATTTCTTCAATCTGCAAACTAAATGCTCATTTTCAGGTTGAGTGAAACCTTCAGGCTGTTGCATGTAGATCTTCTCTTCTTGTTCCCTGTCGACCTTGCTTCATCGAAGTGGAAAGAACCCTTAAGGCCACCAAAGGTAATATTTTTTAGTGAGGGTTTGTATGTTTTTTTTTGTTTGGAGATTTCGTGTTTTTATTTGAGAAGAGAGAAAAGGGGAGTAGAGAGAACGGTCGAATTGGGGAAATGAGGGAGAGTGCTTGCCAAAATCGTATATAAGGGGTATATAAACCCCCCAAAACGACGTCGTTTAGGTGAGTTTAGGGCATCTCTCGGGTCAACGCATGGGTAAACTGTGGAGAGGGGTCTTTACTTTGTATACGTTTCATTCTGGCCACTTAATGGAAATCTTATGTTACTATTTCAAACCGGTTATTTTCAATATTTACATTTCAGTCCTATTTTTTTATGTTTTATGCTTTTTGTGTTCTAATTTGACCCTCTAATTTTTTTTATATTTTATTTTTCTCTCTCTTTCTCCATACTATTTTTATTTTATTTAATATTCTTCTTTTGATATTTTTCCCCTTTTTTCCTTTTTTTTCTTATTTCCCTTTGATTATTTATTTTTTAAAAATATTTTTTTATTCTTTATTTATTTATTATATTTTTGTTGTTTTTTTTCTTCCTTAAATTTATTATTTTAGTATTTTTTATGTTTTTTATTTATTTAAATTTATTTATTATTATTATTTTTTATATAACCTTTTCGACTTCTTTTAGAGGAACTCCAACCAATCAAAGCTAAGTAATTCAAATCGGGTTCTTAAATTTAAATTTAATTTTTTAATTTTTCGCATTAAAGACAACCGATAAATTAATTGGTACCGAAAGGGCGGTTCAAGGGCGCTAATCCTTGACCGTAACCGACTCCCGAGCCCAACACATTTCTGGTAAAACGTAGATCAGATAAGATGGTGTCTGATCCACCTAAATATTTTTTAAAGTAATCGGTGGCGACTCCTAATCTATTTCCCTAAGTCGAAGCCCAATTTCAGGCCTATCCGAAAGACGGTTCCGACAGTATGGTTTATATTTTCTTTAATTGTTTTGAGTTTAAAATTATTTGGGTTTTAAAATATTAATGATTGGATCTTAATATTTTAAATGGTTATAGAGATTGAGCTGAATATAAACCAACAAATTATTATTTATGTTGATTTAATTAAATAAAAAAATTCCCGTATAAACGATTGACTGAACATTCCATTCATTTACATACTAATCTAGGCCAAGGTGGTGAACAGAAAACAAATTTAGTTGTTTTCATTGAGAGTTGAACTCAAGGCCTCCTGCTTACTAAACAGGTGATCTAACCAACTGAGCTATGAAAGCTACAGAAGCATTCAGATTTTAGTCCTATATATCTCTTTGTAATAAGATTATGGAAAACCAATCAACACAGAACTTCAATCCAAACCAAAAATTGCATGCAGACTAAAGGGAGAAAAATAACGGGAAGAGGGGAATCAAGAGCAACAGATGATCAACTTTAACGTTCTATGAGTACAGGGGAAGCATGATAATGACTCTTTCATCCTAGCTGAACAAATGTTCCTGGGGGTTATATATCTCATGATGGTACTTTGGGGTAAACTTAAAAGCAAGGATTCTAAGGCATCCATGAAATATCTGATTAGAAATGGGAGGAGAGGGTGTACCAGCTCGTCAATTCTGTGTTTTGGGCTGTATTTCACCATTTAGTCTTGCCAACCTATTGTCACTATTGAACAAATGTGCTGGTTCGGTCATATGATTCATGGCCCGTCTGTCGTTAACATTTATTAGATACATTTGGATCCAAGACAGTGACCATCACACTTAAGGCCGAAAGAGGAATGCGTCCAAAGCAATCAATTTAACATGCTAATCCACGGTTAAATTGCAGACAAAACTGAGGGAAAAAATAACTCTACCCAAAAATCCATATGATAATAAATTCACCAATAATCAATAATACAGCATTTGCAGTTTCTAAACAGTGCTTGCTCTAATCAAAACTCGAACCCCAGGGCGGCACTGCTTCTACGTCTGAACGTAGTTCCAGATTCCAACGAGATCATTGCCTTTTCGACAAAAATTTCAGCATGTCATGCAAGTTTTTTAAGTATGTACATATTCTATTATGATTCATCCACCAAGACATGCTCCTCCAAATAGCAGGCCATGCTATATATTCCATCATGAACGTCATCATAAACCGAGCAAGCAAGCCATCTTAAAGAATGCCGCGGACAAGAATGGTGTCAGCTTTGTGGCGCATTTTTTGGACATGGAATTTTGGGGTGGTTTTCATAACCTGGGAGTTGTGTTTAAGCAGCTTTGTGCCCTGGGAATTAGTAGAAGTTCTTCTGCTTGAACTTTGGCCACACAAGCTGTTAATTTCGATAACGTCGGTGGGCAGGATCTTGCGGTCGAGATGGGATAGCTGGCTGAATTCACTTGGACCGAGAAGAGCGAATAAACCGGTCTGTGATCCGAGAACCTCAATTCGCCCCTTGAGTACCACATTTGCTTAATTCCTTCGCCTTTCCATAGTACCCTATCGCACCTGCAATTATTTTCCCATAAATCTTAAATCCCAACACAATAGGACTAAAAATGCAATTAGACCGAAAAAATGAAAACTGCCAAAAGTAGAGGCAGAACAATAGTAATATATACCATGGAATTATATATATCAATCTTTTTAAAACCGGACCTGATATTGAACCGGTAAAGGTACTGATTCACTGGTTCAATCGGGTTCAATCGCGGTTGAACCGGATTTTATATAATTTTTTTTAAATTTTACATAATATTCAAAGCAATATTAATATATATGTAACACTTTTTTTAAGTTTACAATATTAAAAGGTATAAAAATATCACAAGTCATAACATATATAAATTAAAAACCATAAAATCAAGTGAAACAAAATGATTCAAATCAACTACAACATAATATTTAAGGTAAAACATATTAAATAATAAATATAATTATATAACTATAATCAGGAAAATAAAATTGGGGCTTAAAAAATCATAACAAATGATGTCATTTGGTTTAATTTTCTTTTGAAAAAAACAATCTCACATGGCTAAGAAACATAGAAGAACATCCAACTTACTTCCATAAATAATAGAGGTAATTTGATATTCAAAATCATGGAGCCTTTTGGTGAGCACACAGCGAACTATTCTTTTGCTTCAATTGAGCTCAAATTTTAGGCTTCAATTGAACTTCTAAATTTTTTTTGAGTTCGAGCCTTTTCGAGTTCAAGTTTTAATATTATATTTCGAGTTCGAGTTGAACTTGATAATTTTTAGCTCGTGAGTTTTTGAGTCGAGTTGAGCTTACTTTTAAAGTTTTCGAGTTCGAATCGAGCTCAGCAATACTCGAATTTGACTTGGCTCGTTGAACAAACGACATCGTTTGGTTTAATTTTTTTTAAAAAAATTAAAAAAAGTGAACCGACGTTTCAAACCGGTTTTGCCGGTTTTTAGCCGGTTCATCTCGGTTTTCAGTCGGTTCATTGCCAGCCTGGTTTTGTGAGGTAATCGGACTGGACAGGCCAATGGTTCACGGTTCAACCGGTTGAACCGACCGGTCCGATCCGATTTTGATAAACATGATATATATATATATCTAACCAAATAAAAAAGTCAGCATTATTATTGTTTTCAAAGGATGATGAAGGCAACTACATGTTCCCAACAAGCAACCTTAACTAATGCACAACTTGGGATTAATTTAATCTTTGTTTCATGTATTTAATTACTAAAAATTAATCAAAACCGGTGGTGAAAGGAACAAGAATCTTGAAATCTTACCAGGCAGGAATCCGCCGTTTCTCTTTGCAGTTCGATGTTTGCATGACGTAGTCGTCGGAGTCGGCTATATATTTGTATGTCGGAGCGAAGTATATTGTGCCTTCTTCCCATCCTTTGAACACCCGACCGGCCCTTTGTTCTAATCTTAACTGCTCAGCAATGAGGGAAATAACACATGTTAGATCTAACAAATGTCAACTATCTATTTTCTTTGTTTGTTTAGGTTAGGCTCTCACCTGATCCTTCTCGAGAAGTGCTTGCCAATCATTCTTCTTCAGTAGTTTGAATGTATCAGCGTAACCGGCGGCAAGCCGATAGTTCAAATCTCCTAACCAGATAATCTTACTGAACAAATACGAAACAATTGAACCTTTAGAGGCTTAACAGAAAAGTGTGAAAATTTACAGATACCATAAAGATTGTAGAATATATCTTACTCATGGTCGAGAATGGTATGCGGAGGAAGTGGCTGTTTGCGACCTCTAAGTGTATGAGAGAACCTTGTTCTCTTTAAGATTTCAGCAACATCCGAATTCCTTCGGATCTCGTCGCCTTCTTTCTCTCCGGAAGTCAAGTGGGTGCAAACGAAGCAGAACGTTGTTTGGTGCAATGTCATACTAATGGATATTGAACCCTATTATAAACATTAAAAGATGCAAAACTTAATACAATTGCAATTTAACTGTGATAAATGCTGATTTCTTTTCGACTGGGGTGTGGAATCGATGCAATCGCTGACCTTGTTTCCGAGATATCCCATGATGCCACGGCCAACGCACGAGACTTTCAGGTTGCTAATATGCTGGTAAAGATCAGCTCGAACCCACACGCACAAGAAAAGACCAACCATTTGCTTGCTAGCAGCTAGGCAGAAGCGCCGCTGATTTGGACTGCTGGACATGCAAGTGAGGCTAGGTAAGCCTTCTTCGCTTAAACTAGAATTCAAGTTCATTGATCTTTCGAAATCATCTTTCATGATTTCGTCTTCCATCGAAAGAAAATCCGAACAGCTGATCCTTGGCTTCACGGTTACTTGCTGCTCAAGCTGATGTGAGGACGGGCTCATAACATTGTAACATTGAGCAAGTTCTAGGTCACTTCGGTTGGTATTCAAAGCTTGACGAATAAGGGAAAGCCACTGTGCGGCGGGGCTGTTGTCCTCGGCTCCAAGAACGTTGCCAGCATTTAGAGGAACGATTTCCTGGAACCTAGCGGCAGAACAAATCCAGTTTGAGCCAATCAATTCTTGAAACATCACAAACATCGTAATTAATATCGCACACTCGATGCATAAAAATGGCATAACGAATCAATTCGGATTAGTTCGATCATGATGTAGAGAAAAGAGCAAGAATTTACCCAAGAACATAGATATCGGCAGGAGCAGGTGACATTAACCAATCTCTTAAGTTCAAACCATGGTGAGGCGATTTCCCTCCCACATTCCATGTCCCCACAAACATCCTGGAAACCCAGAAAAACAAGATAAACCCCAAGTCAAAACCAAAAACCTTAATAAAACACAATTTTTGACAAAAATTAACACTTCAACTCAAATCAAAGATTTAAATTGCGGTTGTGGTCGTTTTATCGCTATTGCGAATATAACAGATGTTATTACGGTCATTACAAGTATCGCGGCCTTATAATAATAGTTTCAAACGACACCGTTACTACTGTATAACGGTCGCTATTTCGATAACGGACAGCTAATTAAATCTATGACTCGACTCAAATAATCCTAGTTAACTGCACAGATTCAAACAATAACTAAACCGAGTTTTTATAACATCACCTGAGGTTGATTGAATCAGTGACAGGCATAGTCTCCGGCGAGACTAACGTCGGCTTAATCCCTCCGGCGGCTTCCATCAACCAGCCTTCTATTAGAAACCAAAAACTCACAGTTAACAAGATAATCATAAATTCATAATTAAGTAAATCCAAGTGTTATTAGAAAGTGATACAGTGAAAGTCAAATATAGACCGTCACGTGGCGAGGAAAATTATATACGGATCATCAAATTTCTACCTAAATCATGACCAGTTCTTTGATCGTAGCCGTACAACTGACGGCTGCAGGAAATTCAACAAAAAAGAAAGAATGAAAGAGAAAAGCTTGCAGATCAGTACGGAAAATTAAAACAGTGCCGGTGGAGCATCGTAAAATCTACCTGAGAAATCTTCCGGTACAAACGCGTAGTAATCCTCGTCGGAGCAACTCTTTCTTCTTTCATCAATCTTGCCTGTAAAAAAGCCAAAAACAAAAATTCTTCCTTCGAATCCAAAACGAAATCTGCTAATGAAATTTGATCGGAAACGAGACATATTCACGGTGGGATTTGTAATTTTTTTTACCGTTGATGGCGTAATCGGAGTGAAACTCGTCTGCTCCACTCGGTATATTCAGCCATTTTCGGACGATTACTTTAGGCCACGAAAACTGCAACAGCCAAAAAAAAAAGAGATTCAGAAATTAAGCATTCCGCTCATAAGAAAATCCGACGAACGATGAATCGTTC